CTCAATTTTGAGTGACCTGCTTTTGTTTCAGCCTCTATAATCACACACCATAAAGTCATCTAAATCAATTGAACATAAAGCCTAAAGCAAATACACAATTCAACCACAACTCCACAATATAAAGTCTACATGCCCACAATTCAACCACAAGTCACAATCACAACAAGACACAAATAACAAGTTCATTATCTCCAAATCATCAACCTAAATGATCTGAGGATCTCGCTCCAATTCATCTAGCCCATAGTCATCATTTACTCCAAGATCTTCATCTAGCCCATAGTCATCTATCGAGTGTAAAGGGGATTTAGAGAGGGGTGACTTTCGAGTTCTAACTCTTAAAAACATTTGAGACTCTTGATGGAGGGTTGTTTGCAATAGGTGAGAATTGGGATGTTTGGAATTGTAACTTTGATTGGTTTTGAATCTTACAAATTTTTCCCTTAGCCAAAGTAAAAAACCATGTAGTCACACTAGTAGGCGGTTATCGGTTTTCTTATCGGGTAACCGCTAACCGATTAATCGGTTAGCGGTTAACCACTAACTAAAATACTACTAACCGAAACCGAAATCAATAAGGAAGTAGCGGTTATCGGTTAACCACTAACCGACTTTATCGGTTCGGTTATCGGTTAAAACCGATAACCTACTAACCGTTTATCACCCCTAAGTATGAAGGTGGCATGTGCTAAGGACCTCAATGGTGATCTCGTTAAAGTGTGCCTCGTTGGTTTTCAATAAATTCTTACATGGCCCAATATATAACTTATATAAAGCTTAAGTTTCTACAGTTGCTAATGTAGTCAAAATCCTGATCTCTATCTTAACATCTTACGATTTTATGATCTTACCTATAATTTCAATTTTGATTTTACTACAAAATTTTTAAACTTTAAAATCCTATAAAATCCCGATTTAAATTTGTAAAATCCTTAAAATTTACGATTTATACAAATTTGTATGATTTTAAGGTTCATGTCAATTGGAGCAAAATCTGGTCGGTCGGGTCGGATTTTACCCATGAATTGGACTAAGTTCACTTCCCTCGACCCAACATCATGAACAATACAACCCTAACCCGATAGGAAACTCACAATTGATTTTTTCTCTTCCACATCTCTCCTTTGCCGCTTGTGGACAACTAATTCCTTGCATCAACGATTTCCTCCGCCCTCCTAATTAGCTCGTAGTTTGTTCCCCACTACCCTCGCAATTAGCCCAATCCCCATTACCTTGTAATCTTTCGTTCATCTCGCAAACCTTCAGATGATGGTGATCAAGAAATTTTGGTTAATGGTGCAAGTAGTTCAAGTGACCCTAAGAATAATGATATCTCATTGTTCAAGAAAGTAGACGATGATTCTATGAGGATAAGGTGAGGGTGAGGATGATGTGGATGTTAGTGTTGATCTTAACGATCTTATTTGATTTTCTACTCTTAACTAATAACTAGTTTAAGTGATTTTTATAAAGTTTCAGGTTGCTTATATGTGTATTATGTACAAGAAAAAATATTGAATTAATTGTGTTTATTTAACTGGAAAACTTATCTTGAGAAGTAATTAAATTGGGGGAAAATGAAGCCACAAATTCAATGATCCTAATAATGAGGCATCAACAATATCTCTTCTCTTATTCTCTCTAGAAAATACATGACAAATATAATGAACTATGTTATATGGTTTGAAAATTTCTAATTAAAAAAACTAATCCTCCTATCATGCGATCCATTTGTTTTTTTAGAATTTTTGTTAAGTTTTTAATATTATTATTTTAGACCTATAATGAAAATTCAATACAATAAATTTCTATTATTTTAAATTTACAATCAAAATCAATACTCTATAACAATAATTAGATATATGCATGATAGAGGTGGTCGGAGGCCCTGTGCGGAACGGCCTCTTATCACACCCCTGGGCCCGACCCAGTATATGTGTGCCTAAAAATTTATATTTTTTCGAAGGATTATAAAAATGTCATAAATTCTCCTGGCATGAGTTAATGATTTGAGAATTTAATCATTTTAAGTGGTTATGCTAAAAGTTCAATTTTTTAAATTTTATAAAAGGGATACTTACTTATGAATTGAGAAATGAATTAAGGTCCAAGAGTCATATTACTCGATTAAGATTTTGAACGTTTTACTTAAGAAACATGTGAAATTAGCAAGCTTATACGAATACATTGAGATCATTGAGATAATAAAAATACTTTCTAAGGTAGTTAATTACAAACAAATTTAGAAGATTAAAAATAATTTGAGCGTATCAATATAAATGAAAAAATCAAACTGCCCGGCCAATGATGGGGGACATAGCTAGTCATTATATATAGGCTTTCAATTTGAATTTATCTAAATAATTATTGAGTTATATTTGGCATGATATGAATCAAATTGTTTTGATAATGAGATAATGATATGTATCAAATTGTTGCCCGTTGGCCAAAAAAAAAAAAAAAAGAAGTGCAAATTATGTTTCCGGTAAACACAAACTACGAGTGTTGTGATTATAAGGGACTCACATAGAAAATACAAAATAGGGCAATGTCTATTTTTTACCCAAACCTTTTTCATATTCTTCTATTCTAACCGAACCTATAGAAATTCTATTTATTATCCAAACGTATTATAATTTATCAAAGTCTGGCATTCATTCTGTTATCGTTACTTATTTCGTCCACGTGAGAGTTGAGATTTTGTTTTGTTTTTTGATAATCTTTTTATTAAAAATAGTAAATGATGGTATTCTGACCGCCACGTAGGAATTAAACTCATTATGGTCATACTTAGTCAACATTACAAACAGAAAAGTTGACGGAAAGTTAACGTTTGGATAATTTTTAGGAATTCAATAGGTTTGGTTAAAATAAAAGAATCTGAAAAAGGTTTGGGTAAAAAATAGACATTGCCCAAAATACTATCTTAGACAATAATATAACATTCAAAAGTTTTCAAAGATTGGATATGTATCATGTATGCAAAACCATAGAAAAGGATCGTCAGCATACGTTCATTGTATATCATTATTAGCTTTAAGTAACATCTTTTTTAGGGATAAAATACTAAATTTTTTTTTTTTTTTTTTTTGCCATAGATATTAAATTTACTACTTCCTTCTCACGAGTGCAATGGCCAACGTATTTATTAATACTTCCCATAATAAATCATACCTTGTTGACTGTTGACAATCCTTTTCTGTTTTCTTGACATTTGACGCTCATGCACGCTGATGCTAAACCACAAAAGGACACAAGATATTTCACCTAAGCCAAAAATATGTATTATTTTTGTTACCGACACAGAAGATTTAAAAATATTTATTTTACCATTATATGCAAATTGTATATCTCAAACTCAAATTATTTAATTAGTTAATAGTACCTTTTCTTTTTAATCACATCATGAATTCTCTGATCAGGTTAGAAAAGATAAAAAAAAAAAAAAACAATTGACATGTACTTTTTTGTTATTAGATACTATTTAAAAGATTTGAACCTGGGACCTAGAGGCTCAAAGCTAGTGGCATTACCACTAGAACAATATCTCGTTCGTAAGTATGAACTATTAATACATGGTACAATTTATTCTTTAAAGAACAAATTGATTTGATTGTGTTATGACTATAATTTCATAGTATGAACTATGAACACATGGTACGAATTGACTAGTATAATTGGTAGGAATAAAGATCCACAATGGTGAAACAAGTGACCTAGATTGGGGAGTTGTTAGAGATGGTCTTTTGGTTACCAAGGGTAGTCGCCAACATTAATGCCCGAAAGCTTATGTTCTATTAACTTGCAATTTGATTTTGTGTTGTTGTATTTTTTAATTAAACAAAGATATCATATTTTGAGAAATAAATTTGAAACCCTGAAAATTGAAAATAAATTTACTTGGATTTTTTTTAATTCTTAACTTGGCATCTAGAATGAAAGCCTATTGAGTTGGTTGATGTTAGTGATACTTGATTGCTGCTTTTGGTTTTTTCTCATTGAGTATCGAACAACTCTAGCCTTAGTAATAAATCTTATTATTTCAAACCAACAGATATGATATTAGTACAACATCAAACATCAGATAAGTCCAGTTTGAAAGTGTTCCTACAAATCATGTGCCTTTTCATCACGACCTACATTCGTTGCTCGAGATTGGCTTGAACTAATTAATATTATACACTTGTCAAGGGGTGGCCTTCATCGACAATAAAGTCAATGTCAAAAATTTACAGGCCATACGAACCTGACATCGTAATCCTACCACTGTAGTTGCCATGTCACCATTTCATGATCATGGACATTTGACAAAGATGTCAACCCCAAACCGACCATGGTAGTTTCAAATTGAGTGTAAGAGTCACGACACACCTCAATGACGGTTACAGACTCTGTGGAGAACGTGAGTGCCAGTTACATCATTAAATCTTCTCTTATCCTTTATGTCTTATCGATGAACCAAATAACCACAAATTCCGCATCACACGTGACTTCTCGTTTATCATTCATTTTTCCATCTAACTTATAGACTTAATAGTCATAGCAATGGAACCAAAGATTCTATATTTGTATTCCTTGGATAGTATCATAATTAAGACATGAAAAAAAATCATTGAATCTTTTATGAGAACACAAAAATCGAAAATAAGATTAGACATAAACATCAGTTTCTAGTTGTAATCATGGACACATACATTACCCACAATTCAAATTCCACATATATGAACATCCAATGTAAGAAATAAAATTGTTGAATACCATAATATATTTTCCCCCCATAATAAATTTATTGCTTCCAAATCCATAATAAAAAAAGGATATGAAAAAAGAAAAATAGAAAAGGGAAGATGGTGGGAGCGGATGGAAGAAATGGTAACAACATTAATGGCGGGATTTTAATGATAGAAACTGATTCTGCAAAAAAAACAAAAGTAAGCCACACAGAGTTAATAATATTCACCAGCAAACAAAAAGAGAGTTCTTTCAGTCACTCTGCCCCTCTTCTTCATATATACTTCTTCCCCAGTGACGAAACAATCTCAAAAAACACTCTGTCACCCACCACCTCTGGCCTCTGCTTTCCGCCATTAAAACAGAGCTTCAATTTTCTCTGTAAGTTCCTCAAAACAGGGCATGCGGTTCCGAAATCTCACTCCCTCTCTCTCTCTCTGTTTGTGGGTTTGACTATGCTCCCCTCAACATTAATTCGCAGTAAATTGTAATCAGAAATCGTTGAGCTTGAGTTTCTCAAGAATTTTGAGATCCAGAAAAAGTTCTGTTTGGCTACCCACCATACACACTCTTGATCCGACTCTCAATTTTTCTTCTTCTTTCGCTCTGTTTTCTTTTTGGTGTACAGATTCAGGAGAAGGACGATGATGATTGCTGAAAATGGCTACCCTCGACTCCACGCTCTGAATATCTCTAAGGATCCCCTCGACGATGATGGTCGCCCCAAGCGCACTGGTACAACTTTACTCTGTCCCTCTTTTCTTCTTATAAACCAATTCCGTATTTCGAATCTCGACGTTAATCGCCAAAGGGGGCGGTGATGGAGGTGGTAAAGGCGCAGGATTGTGTTCAGGAGGTTCTGGGTGACAGATTTCTCCTTGTATAAAGAAGGAAAAAAAAAATGAATCTTAACAACAACATCACTAACTTTCTTCACTCGCGCAGGAACTATGTGGACGGCGAGTGCCCACATAATAACTGCGGTGATAGGTTCGGGAGTGTTGTCACTAGCATGGGCAATGGCTCAATTGGGATGGATCGCTGGCCCGGTGGTTATGATTCTCTTCTCCTTTGTCACTTACTACACTTCGACCTTGCTCGCTTCCTGTTACCGTACCGGTGATCCTGTCACCGGCAAGCGGAATTACACCTACATGGATGCTGTCAAATCAAGCCTTGGTATAACTAAAAAAAATTAAGCTTTTGTCTTTTTTCACCTTTCTTCTCTTAAGATTACTATGTTTTTACGAATTTTCTCCTTTCATTTTGACTTTCAGGCGGGCAAATGTTCAAGATTTGCGGAACCGTTCAGTATGTAAATCTTTTCGGGATCGCGATTGGGTACACCATAGCATCAGCCATCAGTATGATGTGAGTTCAAACATCGATTGGGTCAAATTATGCTCGACTGCTTAATTGAAAAAAAAAGGCCTAAATTATGTGGCGCGATTCCATTTGTTAGTCATCATCAGATTCGAGACCAACCAGTTATGATATGTATGCGGGAAAAACATCGTATAACAGTCACACTCGTTGTTTCTTTCATCTTGCATGCACCAAAATCATATCATCGCGCGAATTGCAGACAATGCATACTTACAATGTTTATCTGACCATATCCCATCACTAGATTGCTAATCCAATTTTCCCCCCTTCTCTTCTCATATTTGTGCTACTCTTAAATTTGATTAAATTCGAGACTCCTCGGAATTCACTTTCTAGGGAACTAAATTGCAGTACAAATGTGAAATGCCTGATTAATTTTGATTTTTTTTGTTTTTTCCAAAACACAGGGCAGTTAAAAGGTCCAATTGTCACCACAAAAATGGACTCACTGGTTCTTGTAAGGTGAACTCAAATCCATTCATGGTAGCATTTGGTGTAGCAGAGATTCTCCTCTCCCAAATCCCAGATTTCGATCAGCTGTGGTGGCTCTCCACCGTCGCCGCCGTCATGTCCTTCACTTATTCCTCCGCCGGCCTCGGCCTCGGCATCGCCAAAGTCGCTGAAAACAAACAGATCCTCGGATCCTCCACCGGAATCACAGTCGGGCTCGTCACCGAAATCGAGAAGCTCTGGAGGACTTTTCAGGCCCTCGGCAACATTGCTTTCGCTTACTCTTACGCCATAATCCTCATCGAAATCCAGGTCAGAGTTCTCCGACTTTTTCAGAAATACCACTAAAAACAAGAAAATTTTTTCTAAAAAGTAACACCCCTTTCCGAAATTTTTCAAAAATACTATCATTTCTCGAAAATCGCATGGGTGGGAGGCGGTTTTGGTGACCACATGGGGTCGGGGCAGTTTGGTCCAAAACCGCTACCCCCAGCGGTTTGATCCAATTGTTTTTTTTTGTTCCCGGTCAATCATAATCTAGGTGGAAACTTCAAACGAACGTATTTTTGTGCTCGAGTATCCGATCGTAGCAAAAAAAAAAAAAATTATTCCGCATAATTTTTTGAGATCTTGCATGCTGCAAATGGCCGTAGCCGGTTTGGTCCCGCCTTCGTCCCCAGAAAACGTTGTTTGCTACCCCGAACGAGCTTTTTTCCCCGATTTCGCCAAATTTTGGACGGCTATAACTTTGTGCTCCGCACTCCGAACATCACAATTTTTATCATAGCCATAATTTCGGAATGCATGTGAATGGTGAAAAAATTGTAGTGCTTAACAAATAACAATTGCACTTTTGGAATAACAGGACACGGTGAAGTCTCCACCATCCGAGGTCAAGTCGATGAAGAAAGCAACTCTTGTGAGCGTCACCACCACAAGCGTATTCTACATTCTCTGCGGCTGCTTCGGCTACGCGGCATTCGGCGACTCTGCCCCTGGAAACCTGCTAACCGGAAAAGGGTTCTACGAACCCTATTGGCTCGTCGACATTGCAAATGTTGCAGTAGTAGTCCACTTGGTTGGCGCATACCAAGTCTTCTGCCAACCCATCTTCGCGTTCGTCGAGCAATACTACGCGAAGCGATACCCAGCGAGCTACTTCATCAACAGGGAGTTCAAGCTCTCGCTCCCGGGCAACCGTAGCTACAATGTGAACCTCTTCAGGTTGGTCTGGAGGACGGGGTACGTGATCCTGACGACGCTAATTTCGATGATTCTGCCGTTCTTTAACGATGTCGTAGGGTTATTGGGAGCAGTTGGTTACTGGCCGTTGTCGGTTTACTTCCCGATCGAGATGTACATTGCTAATAAGGGGATTCCGAAATGGAGCACCAGGTGGGTTTGCTTGGAAGTGTTGAGCATGGGTTGCTTGATTGTAGCTGTGGTGGCGGCGGTTGGGTCGGTTGTTGGGATAATTGGGGATCTCAATTCTGTCAAGCCGTTTCATGCCAATTACTGAATTTCAAAGAGTGAGTGGGGAGGAATTGAAGATTGTGAAAGGAGAAAATGTAAGAATGTTTAGGTTTAGCTAGCTTGGTCTTTCTCTGTTCATGTGATCAAATGGGGGTCGATAAAGACTCGATTTTTATCTTCGTTTGCTTTCTCTGTCTCTCTATGAATGTGAGCGTGTTAGGTGATGTTGGAGCTTGGTTGAGACTGGTTACAAGCTATAGGTATGTTTATGCTATAGTTGTCTATTGTTAATGTTCTAATGTGATGGATTTCGAATAGAGGAAATGTAGTTGTGACCTTGTTTGTGGTAAATTTATTGTATGTTAGAGGACATAATAGTACCATTCGAATGAATTGGGTCATAGGAGTAGAATCAAGTACTCAATATTTGTATTCCTTGGATTGTATTATAATAAAGACTTGGAAAAAAAAATCATTGAATCTTTTATAAGAAACATAGAAATGAAAATAAGATTAGACATAAACATCAATTTCTAGTTTTAATAGTGGACATATACATTGTCCAGAATTTGAATTCCACATATATTAACATCCAATTTAAGAAATAACATTATTGCATACCTTAATATTTTTCCACATGATAAATTTCTTGCTTTCAAATAAAAAAATGAAAAAAGGATAAGAAAAGAAGAACAAAAAAGGAACAGGGTGGGAGAGGAAGGAAGAAATGGTAATATCAATAATGACGAGGTTTTAATGATAGAAACTGATTCTGACAAAACAAAACAAAGTCAATCAGAGTTAATATTCTCTAACTTTTTGACTTTCACACCTAATAGTAGCCTAATCTACTTTGCCAACCAAATCCATACCGCATGGGATAAGGATTTGATATTTATTAGAACAAGAAAGAAAGTACTCAGAGTCAGAATACACTTTCACTACCCCCTTTTCAAAATAATATGCTGGCCAAATTTTGTTTACAAGGGCAATATAAATTGGGTATTATTTAAAAAATCGAAATCGAACTTGAGATCTTTAGGTTTAAAATCAATTATATCTGCATGCAGCGGAGGATGCAGGGGGGCCGCCTCCGGACCGCGGCCCAGCCTTCCTCTGGATCAAATCTAGTATAGCACTTGAATTTTTTTATTTTTGGTATTCGTTTAAATATTCGTCAAGCTACGGCCCAACCCATTCTACTTCTTGTTAAAACGTGGTCGTTGTCTGCTTGTTAAACAGAGTTTTATTCCCGCTGTGAATACATCTCTTTTTAAGTGAGTCTTTAATTTATTCTTTTATCATATGTATGTTCGCAGAGTTACAAGATATATATACTGTGTCTGGATTCAGTGATCTCATTCCCCACCACACAAATTCCAAACAACTGAAACCTGATGCGTAAACTCGCAAACTATTAATAGGAATCCTGGAAAATTACATTCCTTCAAACCTCCCATCCACTAAATTAAATATGGCAAAAAAAAAAAGTAGCACACAGATCAAACAGATCACTCCGTACAGTTTGTCTTCCACAGCATGAAGAGAAAGAAGACACAAGAGTGTTGATTTCCTAGCCCTCCCACGACATAAGTCAAGAAAAAAACAAAACAATCGAAGCCCTTTTTTTTTTTCAAAATTTTTTCCTGATGAAGACCATCCCTGCAGAAGATGCCACATTGTTCGACGACGACGGCTGTCCCAGGCGCACCGGTAAAATCTCAAGACTCTTTTCTGAATCTCTTTACGATTTATGTATGACGACATTGTTTGCTTCCCCCAGGAGGTGTGTGGACGGCGAGCGCTCACATAATCACGGCAGTGATTGGGTCGGGAGTGTTGTCATTGGCTTGGGCCATGGCCCAGCTTGGATGGGTTGCCGGCCCAATTACCCTGCTCTTGTTCGCTCTCGTCACCTACTTCAATTCCACTCTGCTGTCTTACTGCTACAGGTCTGGGGATTCTGTTTGGGGCAGCAGGAATTATACTTACATGGACGCCGTCCATTCCAATCTTGGTAAGGTTAAGGTACATTCTCTCTCGCACTTTTTATACAAATCGCAACATGTATTTATAATCTTACGATTATAGGCAAGTTCATAAAACCATCAGTCACAAGACATTATAGTACTAATGGCAATTTCAAGGTCTCCGGGCCATCGTCAATTTCAAAATATAGAAAATACTGAATCCATCGTGCGCTTGGGGATTTGGGTAGCAAATTCATCGTTCAAATCCAATAAGCAAACCAACCCTTAGTGGTGGTAAATCCTAAAACTGCCAATGTTTGCAGGTACGTTACAGGGCAAATTATGTGGGTATGTCCAACAAATCAACCTCTTCGGAGCGGCGGTAGGCTACACAATAACAACGGGTGTTAGCATGATGTGAGTTCTTCCGTTGTTGTTGTTGTTGTTCCGAATTCTGTCTATACCACTTATGTTGCTGTTGTTGAATCCCGAATTCTGTCTGTATTATGTGGCCTCGCTTAGAATTGTTGCTGGAAATTTAGATTCGATAACCTCGTTCTTGGTTGTTGTTCCGTTTCTAACAAAAACCGACACTGCTCTGCTTTTACCATGTGGTTTTACTTTTATGGATTGAAAACACTGGAACAGGGCGATCAGCCATACCAACTGCATCCACAGGAGCGGCGGCTCCGCCGCCGCCTGCAGCACCGACGCCACCCCTTTCATCATTGCATTTGGCATTATAGAGCTCGTCCTGTCTCAAATCAAAGGCTTCGGTCAACTGTGGTGGCTGTCGACGGTGGCTGCAACCATGTCCTTCACTTACTCCATCATTGGGCTGGGACTTGAAATAGCCAAGGTTGCGGCGACGAGGAAGGTCAGGGGAAATTTGACTGGAATCAGAATAGGTGCAGCGATCACTCCAATTCAGAAGGTCCGGAGGGTCTTCCAAGCGCTTGGGAACATCGCTTTCGCGTATTCCTACTCCATCATCCTCATCGAAATTCAGGTCAATTTTTTCCCTAATTAACCACTTGATCCAAATAACTCGAATTGTTCAGAAATGGTTTGTTAAGAGTCTTTTAATCTCTTACAAGCCCCTCGACCTCAAACGAAAGCCAGATGTCGAATTGTGGATTTGTACAGTTTGCACAAGTTGAACCCTTGTGCTGCTAAATCACGAGGCTTTAGTTTGCCCAGGTAGGGGTGGGCATGTGGGTGGTTAATCCGCGGATTGATATCGATGCATCCGCAGATAACCCGACCCGCACACATTGGGTGATTGATGTGGGTGGATTGCGGATTGATAAATCTTCCACCCACACTTATGTGGGTGGGTGGTGGGTGGATTGCGGCGGGTCACTCGTATGACTCGCATCCTATTTCTACACTAAAAAATATTGTTTCTTATAGTATTGAATATTCATCATATTTTCGAACTGCACTACAGTCTGACTATATACTTTAAGATGTGGAGAATAAAGAATAGTTTTGGCTACTATTATTGGTTTTGTGTTGTGCAATATCTATTAGATATTGATATGCAAATTATAGTTAATATCAATGAAATATTGGGATGCAAACTATAAATTATTAATTGTATCAAAATCACATATTATTGAACTTTTGTAGTAAACTTTCTTAATGGCTAGTTGGAGAATTGTTTTTGCGGGTTGACCCACGACTCAACCGCACCCATCCGCCACCTACCCAACCCAACCAACAGAGGTATGTGGGTGGATCGCGGGTCACAATTATTTGAACTTGCTAGTAAGCGGGTGGGTCAATTTGAGACCAAAACCCACCCATTGCCCACCCCAATTTGCACAGATTGGACATACCACATCCCTTGTGCTAAACAAATGGGGTATTAAATGGAGGTCGTCGTGAGAATTCGAAACTACGGCCTTTCGATCGTAAACTCCGATACAATATCAGCAAACTCACCACTTGATCCCAATACCTCGAAAGAGTTTGTTGAAACCTTTTAATCTCTTACATAATATCTTCCCTCTTTTCTTCCACACACACCAGGACACAATCAAGTCGCCACCATCAGAAGTAGAAACGATGAAGGTCGCCAACCGATTCAGCGTGGCAGTGACGACGCTCTTCTACATGCTCTGCGCCTGCTTCGGCTACGCGGCGTTCGGCGACTCGTCGCCGGGCAACCTCCTCACCGCCACGGGGCTGAACCCGTACTGGCTGCTCGACGTCGCCAACGTCGCCGTCGTCCTCCACTTGGTCGGCGCGTACCAAGTCTTCAGCCAGCCGATCTTCGCATTCGTCGAGGACCAGGCCGCCCGGCGGTTCCCCGACAGCCGGTTCGTGAACAAGGAGATCAAAATCCGGCTCCCCGGCAGCGGCGACAAGGATACGGCCGGGAACCGCTACTACGGCCTGAACATGTTCAGATTGGTGTGGAGGACGGGTTTTGTGGTGGTGTCGACGACGATTTCGATATTGGTTCCTTTCTTTAACGACATTGTTGGGTTGTTGGGCGCAATTGGGTTCTGGCCGTTGACGGTGTATTTTCCGATCGAGATGTACATCGCCGGGAGGAAGATAGTCCGGTGGAGTGGGAAATGGGTGTTGCTGAAGTTGTTGAGCATGGGGTGTCTTATGATCACCGTGGCGGCGGCGGCTGGGTCTATTGCCGGAATCGTTGATGATCTTAAAGCTTCCAAAGGTTTGTAGAGGAGAATGGAGGGGAGAAAAAAATTGGTGTGGTCACACGATGGAATAAATGAAATCATTGTTCAGTTGTTGAGAAAGAAGCTTAGAAATTTTGTAGAGAGTGGAGGAGTAATGGTTAATTAGTTTAGGTGTAAGTGTTTGATTACACCTAAACTAATAAAGTGTTTTTCATTCCTCTAATACTAGGTGTTAATCGTGGATAATTGAGAATAATTGCATCCTCGAGTTTGATTACACCTTAACCTTAGAGCAGGTAACTAGCACGCACTGGAGAGATAAAAATTTATTCTCGAGCTGTTTAGCGAGTTTCATGTATCTCATGCGTTTGTTATGGGGGAAGTAGCATGTTTACCACTAAGGAAATTTTTGGCCATCCACTAGAGCTAGTGGGCTCTTCTTTTATCTTAGGAACATGAGAAGATATTGATCGAGATTATAAAAGTGGGACCTCCTGCAGTAACTTGGGTATAATTTCAAGTAAGGTAACTTGTATAGATCTAAACCGTTAAAATCGATCAAACTTATTTTAAATCATTGATTAAAGAAATAAAAAATAAGAAAATAATAATTGGCAATAGGGGGTTGCCGGTCACCACCCACTTAACTTACCTTTCTTTGTTTTTTTCTTTCCTTTTTCACATTTATTTGCTTTCCTTATTTTGTCCTTTCCTTATTTTAATTAGAAGCGTTACGTAAGACTTCCGTAATAACTTAGCACTTTACGTAACGTGAGGTTAATACTCATTACGTAAAGAGACCTTCCTTTACGTAAAGGTTACAGAATGATAGTTATTTCTTACGTAACAGTGAAATCGGAAGCGTTACGTAAAGCTTCCGTAATGACTTAGCTCTTTGCGTAACACGACATTAATACTCATTACGTAAAGAGACCTTCCATTACGTAAGGCTTCCGTAATGATATTTTACAACTGTTACGTAAAATACACATTCATTACGTAAAGGTTACGAAATGATAGTTATTTCTTACGTAACAATTAAATCGGAAGCGTTACGTAAGGCTTTCCTAATGACTTAACACTTTACGTAACGTGAGGTTAATAATCATTACGTAAAAAGACCTTCCATTACGTAAATGTTACGTAACGACAACTATTTCTTACGTAACAGTTAAATCAGTAGCGTTACGTAACGACAACTATTTCTTACGTAACAGTTAAATCAGTAGCGTTACGTAAGACTTCCGTAATGACTTAATATTTTACGTAACGCGAGGTTAATACTCATTACGTAAAGACACATTCTATTACGTAAGGCTTCCGTAATGATCTTTTACAACTGTTACGTAAGATTACCATATGTTACGTAACCATTACGTAATGCCTATTGTATCTTACGTAATGCGACCTGTGAAACCTGCTATCGCAGGTAAAAAAATTCAAGTTACCTTACTTCAAGTTATTGTAGGAAATCCCTATAAAAGTTTATAACAATTTGAAATCCCTAATTCTCAAATCATTCGTAAGCATGGTAGAGTTCCACCAATTTCTGATGTGTCTTTGGCATGGCTGCAACCTTATAGTGGCATGTGAGCCTTAACATGAATTAATGTGTTCTCATGTGTATGTATATATTCGTGGTGGCTTTTATTGTAACTTAACTAATATCAAAGGTATGGTAAGAAAATGCTATATATACGTCGAATTAACCAGATTTTGGAGTTTAATACTAAACCCTAATCCTTGATGAGTGAACGCTAGGTCTTAATTATCTAAATTATAGACCGTAAACACTAAAATCGTGCATATAATTTGTTGCATTTATTTCGACTAATCATGACCGTAAACTATTGCTTCTAACAAAATTAATCTTAGTGTATGAGATTTACATAAATGAGACCTAGATTTTAATCTTTAAGGATTAGAGTATAGTACCATGTCCCAAATTTTGATCAATTCAAAGTCTAGATATAATTTTCTTACCAAGAGAATGCGATGCTCAAACTTTTACCCGGTGTTGAGCAGAGCCCATTGGAGTTCTATGAAGGTTGATTTGAAGCAAGTTATAATTGGAGGATGCAAATGAACTGAAGTCTGAAGTTACCAGAGAGGAAATTTTCAGTCTTTCTATCAATGGCACTGGATAAGGCCCCAAACTCTGACGGATTTCCAATCAACTTTTATAAGGTTGATTGGTAGATGGTTGGAGGGGATCTGGAGGGCTCAAGTTAGGGTGCATAACCCTGGGTTATGCACCATCAATACCCAAATTTGGACCCTTCATTTAGAAAATCCAGATCTAAGGATGGAGAATTAAAAGTCATTTTTATTTTCACTAGCTTTCTTAATTGACTCATATATTTTTCGTTTTAACTCGGATTTTAATTTTTTTTGCACAGATGGAACGAGTTCATCGTGCTCTACAAAATGAGATCAATTTTCAATATTTATTGAGGAAAAAAAAATTCTGGCCTCTCGGTACCAACTGCATACCATATGGTATCTTCTTCGTTTTTAATTCGATTTTGAAAACGTTTGCACAGCAGGGACGAGTTCATCATGATCTATTGGATCTACAAATTTCTGGGTGAACAAATTACAAGACAAAAAAATACCACACAATACCACCCTGGTACGGGGTGGTATCTTATGGTATTTTATGGTATACAATGTTAAAAGTCGTAAATGACAATTAATATACTTCTACTATCATGTATTCAACCATCCTACAGTTTTGGTTTGTGTCATACCACCATGGTATGCTTTTCAAACCATAGGTATGCTCTTATTTCAATACCAGTCAATATCATATGGTATAGACTGATATAAAATGGCTCAATTTTTTTTGTTCGAAAAATATATCAAAGTGGATATCATTTTGAAGAGCACAATTAATCTGATCTAACTGTGCAAAAAAAATTAAATTTCGACTTAAAACGAGTGAGAAATCGTCCGTTAAAGATTAAGGAGGGGAAAATTAAAGACTTTCCAGGAGAGAGAGGATGCTGATGGCATGCTGATGTGGGCCGGTTACTCATAGTTACTCACCATAAGGTTACTGACCTGATCCATTCCCGATCTGGAGTATACTATCTTGAGTTTCTTCAATTCAGGAATTCTCCCCATAAAGGTAAATTCCATAATCCTCACCTCGATTCCCATAATTGCCAAGAATGAAGGGTCTTAGACCAATCTGTTGTTAGTAATGTTCTGTATAAGGACATTACAAAGTTGATGGCCAATAGACTATGAAGATTTCTTCCTAAATTGATTAATAAATCACGGTCAACTTTTGTGAAAGGACAATTAATCAGCGTTTATTGTGAGTTGGTCAAAAACTACCATAAAACATTTATTGCCCCTAGGTGTGTAGTTAAGATCGATTTAACGAAGACTTTTGAGTCGGGTAATTGGAGTTTCCTCTTCAGAGTCATAACTGTTATGGGTATCCCAGATTGATTTGTTAGTCAGGTAAGAATTTGTGTCTCCTCTCCCATGTTCAGTGTTTCACTGAATGGAGGTTTATGTGAATACTTTTCTGAGGACAAGGATCTTAGGTTGGGTGATTCACTTTCACCTTTTTTTTTTACAATAGCTACAATTTTTCTTCTTGCCTAATGGCTAAGGCAACCTAGGAAGGGCAGATTCATTTTCTTCCTTGATGTAAACATCTTGAAATCTCCCATTTTTGTTTTGCGGATTACCTCTTGGTCCTCTTTAGCGGACTTGTGGATGCAGTTGAGGGGGATAAAAAACCTGATGTCTGAGTTCTATATGATCTATGGTCTAAAGTTTAATCCTGAGGAAAATAGTATCTTCCTTGAAGGGATTGGGCCTGAAGATCATAGGGATATTGCCTCTACAACTGGTTTTCTTCTAGGTACCTTCTTTGTTAAGTACCTTGGGTTCCACTACTGGCAGGCAGAGAGGACCCTTGTTATAAGTAGGGCTGCTATTTGGTCCGGATTTTTTGGTTTTATCCGAAACCGGACCGTATAACCCGGACCGAGACCGAATAGGGACCGGATAGTAAACAATTCAATCCAATTTTTGGGATTAGATTTGAGGTAAAAAAAAAACCGTTCGAGACCGGATCGAAAACTGGACAGAGACCGGATAAGAGAGCTCAACACCCAAAACTTAAGGGTAATTTGCATAAACGGTCACAAACCTTTGCACTTAGTACAAAACTTAACCAATTCCTCACCCTTTTATGCCTTAGGCCACTCAAATCACCACAAGCTCAATATAAAATCAAGACCGAATTGGGACCGGACCGGGTCAAGACCGGACTGTATCCAATCCAATATTTGGTCCTTATATTTTCAAAAAGACCGGACTAGACCGGATCAATTTGGGCCAATTTAACCGGACCGGACCGTATAGCCACCCCTAGGTATAAGGGCAGAGCTTAATGAATTTTTTGATTAATCGCTAAAAAATATAGATTATTATGTAAATTGTATTCAAATATGTTTTATATCCTCTTAAATTCATTTAATTTGATGTTAATAAGTTTTCATATTCTTATATATTTTATAAAATCTGTACAAATCGGTTGTACCATCGGTCGAATCATACCATTTGTTAAACCAATACAACTATATAAACCGGGTTGACAATCTTGGTTAAACCTGACCCTGGTCCCCCTCCATGAGACCGACACCTAAGCTTCCACCTCTCTCTCTGTCAATCTTCGCCCTCTTCCACCTAGTCTCGCCCTTTCTGGTCTTCTTCCCCTCCAGACTCCAGTTGCTTCCACCTCCCCGATCCTTCGTCATTTCCCGTCGATTTCAGCCGCCTCCATCGCTTGCCTCGCTGGTCGCCTCCGCCTCTAATCCCCACCCATCTAAGAGCCAGTCCATCCCTCCTCCTCCAACTTTCATTCCCTCTCAGGCCCTGAATTCCAAATTGACTAGGCTGAACAACACAGGGGACCGAGCTATTGCAGCGAGGAGAGAAAGAGGTAAATCGATCATCTTATTTGGGGGGAGGCGTGGCGGCTATTGAAGGTAAATTTCGTCTTCTCCCATGATTCATTAAGGATAGTGGTGCGGGCGAATTCGGCGGGTGGTGATGAAGGCAGAGATGGAATGAGATCTGTACAATCTTTGTAAATCTCGGCGTGGATTGAATGGTTCGTTGATATATCGGAGATAAAAACCCATTTCTCGTTCTCTTCGTAGCTGCAACTGCACTTTGCTTGTGATTGGTTTCCGAAGATGGACGAGTTTGGTGTGTTGACTGAGCGATTTGGGTTGAAGCCCCAGGGAAAATCTGCTCCAATGGCCGCATCAAAACGACCCAATAGTGCAACCGCTGCCCCAACACGGAATTTGGCTTCCGGTTCGCCTGTCAATTCCCAGTCATCGCCCGCTTATCCCTCCACTGCTGCGTACGGCACCAATTCATTTAATGGGATTTCTGTCGGTGGTAACGGGGACCTGTTCGGCAATCAGAAAGCTCAGAGCTTTGGAGGTTCGACCGATGGGTTCGAGGTTTTTGGTGGATTTGACAAGGGATCGAAGCAGAGTAACGGGAGTTCTTCTTTTGATTACGATTCCATATTTTCTGGGCACAATCATTCTAATGCAAGATCGTCACTTGATAATGATGATATATTTGGTGATGGGTTGAAGAGCTCCAATGCTTCCAGTAATGATGACTTGTTTGGGTCGTTTGCTTCCAATCAGAAGCAGAGTGTCCCTATCGATGAGTTGTTCGGGAATTTCGGTTCGAAGCCTAGTCCTTCTCTGAATAGGAAAGGATCATCCGGGTTTGATGACTTGCTACCTGGGTTTAATTCGAGCAAGACATCAGATAAAAGGTATGTTTCTATTCTGGGAAGTTTAAAATTGCTGTTTTGTCTTGGTTGAATTGTCTCAAGTATCATAGTGAGAGCTCATTATTTTTAGTTATTGTACGATATTGAATATTCGTCTAGGGATTTGTTATTCAGATAGAGACCAAGTAGAGATAATTATTGTGCGTTATGTGGAGAAATTAAGACATATTATGCCAATGTTTTCCTGAAACAGTTTTGGTTTGTTGAGGGCTCAATACACATCTAATTCGACATGCATATAAGTCAAGCTTCTTGGTCGGTTTTCCTGTTAATTTTGGTTAATGATTACGCAATGATTTTCCAATTTGTTGGAGTTTAGTCTCTAGATCCTACCATGAGTATTCAGACATCCTAAGCTATTAAAGATTTAGAAATTTGGCACTTTTGGCTTTTGATGAAGTGGTAGAATTACCCTGAAATAGAATATGCTACCTTTGCTTGTCAGTTGGATACTATTTTGTTCTCTATAGCATTCATTTTGTTCATGCTAGTATATATCTTCCGATTTTTATGAATGACGAGAACTGAAAGAAGTGTAGAAAGGTTGTTCTTAAGTTGGATGTTACTATACTTTGAAAAGAGGGAGGAAGCATCGATCTTCACTATCTTGCTGTTCATCAATATATTCCATAGCTTAGTAGTAACCCAGGCACTACCTTGATCTTCATAATCTTGATATGCAGGTGTTTTCTGATTGTTAGTAGTAACAGAGACACTGTATTTGACTAGTGACAATTATCTCAACTTACTTTCTATAATTTTATCTTAAAAACCATGAATGCTTGTGTTGTTCATGAATATTTGTGCATGGCGTAATACAGAGAAAATACCAGAACTACTAAATCAAGCTTCAACTCAGCAGATGATCCATTTGTAGTCTTGGAATCATCTTCTTCAACCACCACGAATTCCTCATTTCTGGATCCACTTGAGGAGTTTAGTAAGTTTGCAAGTTCTGGAGTTAGCAATACAAAACCTGCTGGCTCTTCAAATGTTTCAACATCATTGCGGCCCCCACCAAAATCTGGCCAAGTTCTGAAGTCAGTGAAAGGTCATTTATTTTCCCCTTTGGGGCAGGATAGAATTATAAACGGAGATTGATGGCCTATTATTGGTCTGTCTTCCTCACAGTGAATTAACATTGGTGTTCTTTTTGCTTCATGATGCAGTAAAAAATTCGCGTACATCTTCAATTGACGAGTTTGAAGACTTTGCCACTAGTAGAGTGCGAGCTACACCTAACAAGCAATCAAATGACAATCACTCCAGGGAAGGCAGAGCAAGAGAAAATGCTAAAACAAGCAAATTTAAAGAAGCAGAAAAGGAAATGCCCCTGAAGAGTGTGGATGATCTAGAATCCTTTTTTGGAACGAGTTCTAGATCCAGCAGTGCACCAAAATCTCGGACTGCAACTTTGGTAACATTTTATGATTTATAAGTTTAGTATCTGGCTGCCACATTGGCATTATAACTCATTTGTCATATTTGTACTTGTTAGGATCCTCTATTTGATGCGACCCTTAATACCAGAGGTAAACCTCAAGTCTCCAATGGAAGGGCTTCTGGTGTTTCTTCATCTGGTTTGAAGAAAGCTTCTTCTGAAACTAATATGTTTGACGACTTTTCTTCGCTTTTTGGAGGTATGTTTCGTTAAAAAAAAATTAGGGTTATGCAAAATTTTCTTAGTTTGCCTTACTAATATATTGATCTCTTAATTCTGAAAGACGCCTCTTTCTCTGGAGAATTTGAAGAAGTTGAAGGAGAACCTGAGGAGAGACGAAAAGCAAGGTTTGAACGTCACCAGAGGACACATGACCGAGTGGTGCGTCTTTCTCAGACTAGTCACTTTTTTGTTCTGTCAAATTGTATGGTGGCGTATTCGGCGCACTCACTTTTTTGGGTGCACTCAGTGCACCCGCCTCATAATCATCATTCTGAGCATGCGATTCATGTCAAAACAGTATCAATTGTTGCTTATGATATTATGAACAAGAAGCACATGAATTTGAAAAAAAAAATCATTTAAAATTAACTTGAATTTGAAGGATTTAGGGGTTTAGGGTTAGGGTTTAGGTTTACAGTTTGGGATTTTGCATTGGGATTCAAAATTGAAGGTTAAAGGGTTAGGGTAATAGATTGATTTGTTATGATTCTATGTCATATCATCATATTAGATTGAGAGTACTAATTAAAGTTCAAAATTTGATGTATTATGGACACTTTTAGAGATGGGTGCACTCAAAAAAGTGAGTGCACCGACGTAGCCACCCAAATTATATATATATATATATATATGTTATTATGTTATACTATGAATTAATTGTAGTAGTTTAATTTTAGCTTCTCCTTAAGTCCCTAGCTTCTCTGTCCAGAATTTCAAACTGTAATACTTTTTGCTTTCCCAAAAGTGGTACTTGCTGGATTTATCTCTTTTGCACGGGAGTTTGTCTGCCATATGGATGCTCTATAAGCAACATTTTGCTGGTGTGGTCTATAATGTTTCTGTGCGTCTGCTAGATAGTGCCCTTTCAACTGTTATTACGTAGAAACATTGAGCTGAGCTCAGTTCTCTCTGACTTTGTTACGTATACAGTCAAAGGCAGTTGCTGATATGAACCAGCGTGACTACCAAACTCAACGTGAACAAGAAGAGAGGCGGGTAAGTTAATCGTCCTGTTGTCTTTAATATGCATTTATAAACTAAGACTTTTGGATGATATTGCATCGTTTTCTGCTGCTTTTCATCAACCTTGTTATTCTTCTGGAGATTGTTGGTTCATAAATGACTACAAGTCACCCACAGAATGTTTTCTTGCTATTTTCCCTTTTAACCTGTTTTAAGTTGTTTGACAATGAGGACTAATCTTGGTGATAGATCATATCTTGATGTCTTTTAAAGTTCCACCGAGCAGTGTTATTCCAATATGCGAGCAGACTGTTTACTTTATTCTTGATCACTCGACACATAATAATGCAGATGATTGCTGAGAAAATGGATCTTGATATAAAGAGGTGGGCTGCTGGGAAGGAAGGCAATATGCGGGCCCTGTTGTCATCTTTGCAATATGTATGTGTGTCATTTCACAACCTCTTTCTTTGGCAGTTTAACTTTTGGTTGTGCTATCGGTTCATTAGTTCACTAACAAAAAGCTAGTTTTATTGAAATATGGACGATTTCTGGCATTTGTGGTTATATTAACCTATGTATGTGTTTCGATTATATCACGAGTGTAGGAAACCTATTTTTAGGGTTCCCACGATTGTGTTGGGAAATTGGGAATTGGTAGAGATTTAGGGATTTAGAAGAGAATTAGGGATTAGGAACAGAATTGGGGAAGAACCGAAAGAACGGCCGAGGCCTCTAGAGAGGAGGATAGACGAGATTTGAGAGAGAAAGAGATTAGGGTTTTGGGGAAGGGTAACTTTTCTATTAATTTCTGCTTAATATGACGAATGACCCAAAGTACATATATATAGAGAAATACTAGAAAACCCTAAGAATAAACCTAATTCTACTAGAAGACTACTAACCATAATAAGAATTATCCTGATAATGATTATAATAATAATATAGAAAAATCGTGTTTCCCACATCTGGTATCAGAGCCTGGTTTCGAGAATTGAGTACCAGATGTAGGAAACCTATTTTTAGGGTTCCCACGATTGTGTTGGGAAATTGGGAATTGGTAGAGATTTAGGGATTTAGAAGAGAATTAGGGATTAGGAACAGAATTGGGGAAGAACCGAAAGAACGGCCGAGGCCTCTAGAGAGGAGGATAGACGAGATTTGAGAGAGAAAGAGATTAGGGTTTTGGGGAAGGGTAACTTTTCTATTAATTTCTGCTTAATATGACGAATGACCCAAAGTACATATATATAGAGAAATACTAGAAAACCCTAAGAATAAACCTAATTCTACTAGAAGACTACTAACCATAATAAGAATTATCCTGATAATGATTATAATAATAATATAGAAAAATCGTGTTTCCCACATCTCCTCCCCCTTCAGGCCAACCTTGTCCTCAAGGTTGATCGACTTGACCCACTCTGCCACGTCCTCTGCGTAATCCTCATCCTTCGTGCGCTTTCTTTTCTTCCAATTGTGCTCCACGACTCCAATGAAGCCCACTCCTGTGACCCCGACTCTCCTCAACTTTTCTCGAACCACGTGACACAGGTCACGGTCTCCATAGCCGAACAATCCACCCTTTTCCTTTTCGAAATCAACGAAATAAGAATCGGAGGATAGTTCTTCATTTTGTCCATCATCATTACCCACCTTGAGATCTTCAATGAAACGCCCCATAAATTCCTCTATGAGCTTGGTGGAGAATACAATCCAACTTTCTCCTCCTTTACTTTGACCCACAATTGGTTGCAATAAAGAGCTGGAGCCCAACCCAATATTAAACCTCTCTATCTTTCTTCCAATTTCATTTGGGCTTGGCTCATTGGGAAGCCCACAGACCAACCCAAGAACTCCACCTAAACTTGCTTTCTTTAACACACAGCCCATGTTGGGCCCATTTCTTTCCTCCTTCATGTTTGGTTCCTGCAAAATAAATCCAACAGAGAAGCCCATTGGTGGGCCGAAGCCCTCTTTATAACTCGGCCCATGATTCCTTTGTACCCAAATTCCCTCTTTCTTGTTCAGGCCACTACCAAACTCTTTCACGGCCCACTTCTTTTTTATTTGCGGCCCGCGAATTGGCTTAATCTGCTGATTCATATGGCACAAAACGAGCCCAGCTAGCTTACTCTTCTGCCCACCTGATTGGGCCAATAGTACTCGGCCCAAAAAGGGCTCAACACTCCTCTTCACCCGCTGCAGCTTATGACCAAGGTCAATGGGCTCTTCTCTCATTCTTGGCCCAACCAACCCATCACTTTGGCCCGATGAGAACCCAACCCACTCCACTCCTTGGCGGCCTAGGGTTGCAGAAGAACACCCGCCGCCTTCCTTCTTCTTCGCTTCATTCTCCAGCGGCGTATCATCCCGCCGACGGCACGGCGGTCCTCCTGACCTCGCCGTCGACTTCAACTCCGCCACGTGCTCCGACGGCGGTTCGAGTTTTGGCGCCCTCTTCGACGTCGCCTTCTTCATCTTCTTCGCAACTTCCTTTCCCGGCGGCGACCAACCCGACCAATTGCACGGCGGACAGCCCGAAGCCGCCGCCGTCTTCTGCTCCCTCTCTTCACTCTCTACCAGCTCCGTCTTCTTCTTCTCGTTCTCCGGCGATTCCTTGTCGGTTGTCGTCACTATGGGAGAGGCCGCGCCGCCCTTCCTCTTCATCTCTCCCCTCAGCGACGTCTTCTTCGGTGGCGAACAGGGGATCCCGCCGCCGCGCATCTCGTCCGTCAGCTCCGGTTCGTTCGGCGTCACGCGGAACGTCGACTCCTCTGCTCCGCGTCGCCTGCCGTGGTTCGCAGTCGTCATCTCCAGCTCTGCGGTAGGCGTAGTGACCGGCGAAACCTCAGTTCCGCGGCGCGGATGCAATCTCAAACCCCCGACCTTCCTCTTCGATTCTTTCTTCAGCGACGCGATCCAGAGCACCGGCGAGTCCAGCCCACGGCTCGAGCTCACGATTGGCGATGATTGATCGTCGGGTGGTTTCCTCGGCTGTGGAATGGCCGGATTTAGGAAATCCCTTGTCGCGCCGAGACTCGCTCCCGGATCTTCTTCCCTCATCATTGCAGCCAGATCTGTCTGTGTTGTCAGAGCGGCAGAAACGGCCGGTGGTGGAGCCATGGCTTCTTTCTTCTGCGGTTTGGTGGTGATCACCAACAGCTGTGGCCGTTTGATGTTCTCGGCAGTGGCCTCGGCTAGAGGAACAGCTACCGACGACGACGGTGGTGGTGATGTCGCAGCAGCCACTGCAGTAGCTTCTTTCTCGGTCTTCACATCGGCGGTAATTTCCCCTTGCTCGACCTCGATTGGAAACGCCGGTTGTTCCAACCAATCCTCGAAATCCAATTCTGTAGCTGCGGTCTTAGGTGGAGAAGGCCGCGCGATTGGGGCGACGCCAGACAGCTCGACCGCCGGCTCTTCGGGCAGCCAACGACGGCCGATGCGGCGGGCTCTGTCCCGCAATTCTGCCCACGACAGGTTCGAGAGCTTTGAAGAGCTCATCGTCGAACCAGTTGTAGAAATCGTCCCAGTTGTAGAAATCGTCCCCGGTTGAGAGTTGTGGTGAACTCAATTCTCGAAACCAGGCTCTGATACCAGATGTAGGAAACCTATTTTTAGGGTTCCCACGATTGTGTTGGGAAATTGGGAATTGGTAGAGATTTAGGGATTTAGAAGAGAATTAGGGATTAGGAACAGAATTGGGGAAGAACCGAAAGAACGGCCGAGGCCTCTAGAGAGGAGGATAGACGAGATTTGAGAGAGAAAGAGATTAGGGTTTTGGGGAAGGGTAACTTTTCTATTAATTTCTGCTTAATATGACGAATGACCCAAAGTACATATATATAGAGAAATACTAGAAAACCCTAAGAATAAACCTAATTCTACTAGAAGACTACTAACCATAATAAGAATTATCCTGATAATGATTATAATAATAATATAGAAAAATCGTGTTTCCCACAACGAGTGATCTGTTTTATTGGCATACTTTGTAAGTTCCAATCTAAGTTTATTGCATTGCTCAACAATGAACGGTGTAGGATAGAAATGGTATTAGCTGCTCTGAAACTTTGTTTGAACTTCTGCATAGTTATTGGTGCTTAGTGGAGATGAACATATATGCCCAATACTTGGAGATAGACAAAGAGAGTGTCTCAGAATTAAATTCTTAAAAGAGATACATCATATGTTGTCCGTTGGAGAATTAAATATCACTGGCTTGATTGGGAACTATGGTTTTTGGTTAGCTAGTTGTAAAGTTAACACGGGTTGGTCTCAATGTGTCTAAACATGTTAAAGATGTGGATCCTCAGGTGCTCTGGAATGGATGTGGTTGGGAGCCCGTCTCTCTGACTGATCTGATTACATCGTCCTCAGTCAAAAAAGTGTATAGGAAAGCGACTTTGTGTGTGCATCCTGACAAGGTTCAACAGAAAGGTGCAACTCTTGAACAGAAATACATTGCCGAGAAGGTCTTTGATATCCTCAAGGTATGTCTTTTAGCTCTTTTGTTGTTGGTACAAATAGTCATTATCATGCATAATGAATACTTCGAATTATCTTTGTTATAGACTTCATGAATGCAATTGTGCTTAAGGGGTCATTTGGTTGTCAGGTCTCTGAAAGTGATGGAGTGTGAAAAATCCATGGATTTGAAAAGTGAGCTTTGTGGATTTGATATGATTTTTTTGTTTGTTTGTTTGCATGTTTGATTTAGTGGTGGACTACTAAAAGTAAAATGACCACCATGCTCTCATCATTGTTCTTTTCAGTTCTCTTTCCTTGCAATTTGGAATTCACAAAAAATAGTTGACAAAATAGACCACCATATTAGGGATGTACTGCACAATGCCTAATTTAGGGTGAGTTTCTGAAATCGTAGATTTCCAACTTCATGGACTTGGTACCTTCTTCCGCTCCACCAAACAAGGTTTTCGGAAGAAACCCTCTACTTAAAGATCTTGTTCTGAATCCATGAGGCAAATCCTACATTCGAACGACCCTAACTGCTATGGAACCTGATTTAGGTGAAAATTTGGTTTTAGGCTGGGTTACTGGCTCCCTTCTAATTATGTTCTAGGCTTAGTCAATAAATCTCCTTGCACTACCTTTAGTAAATAAAAGAATACGTCGTTTCTCCTGATCATACTACTGCTCTATTCGAATTGCATTAGATAATAGATAAAGCGGAATATCTTACAAAATAGCAGATGAAATCTACCCATATACCTACCCATACACCATGGCAAGTTAGCAATGAAACTATACTGGCATGTAACAAAGAATCCTACTACTTAGAGCAACACCACAAACAGAGAAGAATAGAACAATGGATTAACAAACAAAATCAACAAGATATGGTAGCTAGGTAAAGCTATAAGCCTTAGACCACCACCTTATTCCTTCTCTTGCGACTTGTAGGAGCTAGGTGGCAGACTTAGTTTGACTAATGCTCATGAATTACCTGCTGCAACATGGACATCTGCTATTTCTTGCCAGCTGTGTTTGTTTAGTTGTAGTATTAAGCTTATAGTTGATAATGTAGGAGCGGAGAAAGGTTGACACATAACAGTCCAGTGCTGTCTATGGAAGAGCTGTATAAAGTGTCAGTTTAATAAGCTGTACTTTGCAATGGCACTTGCTTACCTCTATCACTGCAGTGATTGTAGTTACTTTACTTCATAGTTTCACTCTGGCGAAAAAGTTTGTGCACCACATGCAGTCATTATGAACTTTGCGAATACTTGGCACTACTCGAACATGGTGACTGTTGAGCAGGTCGAAATTTTAAATGCATGGCTTTTGTGTTGTGTTGTATGGGAACAGGAAGCATGGAACAAGTTCAACAAGGAGGAGCTATCTTAACCTTCAGAAACCAACTTGTCAATGAGTTCAAGACTCTACCGAGCTCCAATTAGGAGGGAAGAAAAACGCACGATTCCTTAGGATAGTGCACAGTTGGCCGTGGTTGCCAAGGTGGAGGTGAAGATGCCTACAAGAGCATAGAGAGAAGCTGGGTGTCTGAGTCTCCATGGTGTGGAAGTTGATGATGATGTCTTATTACGAAAAAGTTTGCTATGACATCATTTACGATGCGTTGCATGTCACGTGTACCATTGCATTGCAGACTTATCAGTCAGGAACCTTGTTTGAGGGTTTTTAACCATTTGAGCTTCGTCTTCTGCGAATTGACCAAGTGATGTTGCATGGCATGGCTTTTCGGTTGCTGACTGGGTAACAGGGGTCTTGGCATATGCTGTAAGAGTTATACTTCAGTGTTTCTTTCTTTGATGAGTTCCTTGTAAATGAAGTTAAACACTTCTATGTTGTAAGAGTTATACTTCACTGTTTCTTTATTCTTTGACGAGTTCCTTTGCGAAATAATTCCACGAGCAAGTTTCTTATTTGTTTGCACTTTGCACATCTACAAGAGATTTCATTTATTATCTTCAGTGTTGCATTCTTTCTAGTTCTTGATGGTGCATACTATCTTATTACCAAAAGGAGCAAGCTATGGTAAGATACTATAGAGCACTGAGGAAACAAAAGCGGCTGATGATGCTCTGCTACGATACAGAAATCAAAAGCAAAACCTCCACAGCCCTCCTTCAACGGATTCAAAATCAAAAGCAACACTTTATGAAGCTACATAGTGGATCTTGTAGTTGGCAGTCAATATATCTTTTTCCTTTTGTGTTGCTGTCAAGGAGTTAACATCTCTATCGGTTCGTGTCTCAAATTGTGCTGGCGATGCATAGATTTCGTAAACAATGGTTTCGCTTGCAGCTCTTACTCCCTGTGAAGCATAATCTTGATGCAAATAGCGATCTCTCATCGGAGTTCAACATTCAGCTTTGTTTCAACTTGTTCTCTCACTTTCCTCTGCAGACAGCAGAATATGCAAGGATGTTTCTGAAGCATTCAGTTTTTCTGTCCATATAGAGAATTCAAAACGCACAAACTTAGTCACACTGTGACTCTTACCTGCAACTCATTGATTTCTTCATCTGTAAGTGAGCGTTCCATGGACCGGTAAGCAATCCTATAGCAATGACTTGTCATTCCCTTCTTGTTTGTAAAATTGTCTATCAATTGCACCTAACACAAGTAAACAAGTAACACGAAGTAAACACGTGCTCAGAGGATAGAGTTGAAGTTATGGTAATTCTGCAGCCGAAATATTATGAAAGGGTGATGGAGAGGGTTTCCGAAATCAACGAAAAGTGAAAATAAGCACACTTTTAATAGCAGACACAAAGGAGGAGATATGTCAAATTGTCAGTACCTCTTCCGCAAGATCCCCAGCCACTCCTCTGACAACTTCGCACAAATTGTTTTCTGTGAATGATTCATTGATCCAAAAACTCATATCTTTGAAACATGGAGGAAACTGCAAGGCAGATGCTCAAGTTAAGTGCGTTGATCTGAAAACCATCCACAGAAGATAAAGATGAGATGAAGCTTTCACCTTTGAAAATGGCTTGAATTTTATCCCCATTTTGCCCTTGGTGAACTGTGTAGACAGAGCTCTCAATGTAGTCAGTTAGGGTTATTGTCAAATCGATGCGCTTGTGAACAGTAATCCAGTTTTTAAACCATCTTCAAAAGTTTAGGACCCTACCTGAGATGTAAACCGCTCATCGTTTGACCAGAAAAGCCGAATATCAGGTATGTCAAACAAAACCATAGCAAGTCGTTCCAATCCAAGTCCAAAAGCCCAAGCAACACTATCGAGTTGACCATTGTTCCTTAAAATCTCTTGTTCAGTAACCCCACAGCCTAATACTTCCATCCACTTCTCCTGAAAAAAGCATCAACCAATTTTTACTTGTGAGATACAGTTGCACGTCCGCCTCTGGCAAAATCAAACTATTTTCTAGTAACAGATCCTCTACCACACAGGATACAAGAAAAGAAGATTGATGGAACCCTTTCCTTCTTCTTTTGCCCTTTAAGATATGGTTTAATAGATTCAAAACATTTCAAAAGCTAAAAGTGGTTCAAAGGTTTACTTAACATTGTAAAATTAATCACTTCTGTCCCGCATACAAAAGCATCAAAATTTTCTTTTTCTTCCCTCCTCATGCAGCTAAGGATAGCATTGGGCTGAATTCCCCAACACTTTTAATAATTAAATCTATGGAGACTCCGGAAAAATACTAAGTATGGAGAAGCAAGAGTTCAATGATTACAATGCAGATTTGAGTATTTGACAGCATACCTGAAAATATATCTCAAGTTCAAAAGATGGATTCGTGAATGGGAAATATGCATCAATCCAACGCATTTCCACTGCACCTGTAAATTCCAAAAAAAAATGCTAGATGAGGATCAACAGATAGGGAAACGATGAAAAGCAGGCAACTGAACATTAAAGACAATTAGTAACCTGTGCTACCAGTCAAATCACCCTACATGTTTGAGGAAATACATAGACTGGATGGTGCTTCAGAAATCAGCCTGTTTCTAAAGTCACAATTCAATGTTACTGAATGCATTTACAGATCACCTCGCGAGACATAATACTCATCATAGTGAACCAGTGAAATCTGATTGTCAATAGAAACACAACACCTCTGCATTTGAAAAGCATGTCAAGACATTACAAATAAATATAAACAAACATAGCTTCAGTAAGGTGATGCAAACATATTTTCTCATTGTTAAATGGACTGAATTTATCAGTATCAGGCTGGCATGTTTTTATCCACAGATATCCAGAAAGTCCAAGCCAGTAAAGGACTTTGGATTTGAGCATGGCACCTAAATAGTCCAAGCATTGAAATCTGCAATCAAACAAATCACAGGGTCGCCATATTTTTATCAATTACATGAACCAAGCTTATTAATGGATGACAATTATCAAGGCAAATTACTAATACACAATCCTATATGCACCGATGAAAGCAACTATTGGTTTTGTTTAGTATTATACATTCCACTTATTGGTGATAAACAAGATGACAAGGACTTTTACCAAATAAGTGTCTAGCTAGCCCCTCAAGGCATTTCTTCAAATCGTCAGCAGCATAAGATGTGCCGTCCAATCCCGAGGCCTCCCACTCTTTGGGTGAGAACACACGAAACCCTTCCATCTGCATTTCTAACAGAAGAATATATGAATGAATGCTCAACGACCTCAAAAAGCAACAAAAAAATGTTTGATTGCAGATAATGGGAGGCCACAAAAACCTGGTGAAACACAGGATAATGAGTTGAATCAATTGAATCTCTACGGTAAACATCTCCGGTTACAAGGAAATGCGTATGTCCATCCCTCAACAACTCTGCCTGATGAGCACTGGTATGGCACCTCAAAACAGTTTGAGAATCAACATAGTAAGTATCATTGTAGCTCCTCGATATATGATCAGCAGGAACGAGGACATCATCAAAATTCTGCGAAAAATAGAAGGGGGGGAAATGACGTGCTATTCAAGAAAAAGCTAACTCATGTTTCAGATAGAAAATTCCAGCACAAGAACTACAAACTAAAACCTGTTTAACAGAAACCAGAGGGCAGAGATCATCAAACTTATCAAACTTGTTGGAGTAATTGGCGTCGAAGTATTCGTATATCGCGTTCTTCAGTATGCCGATCGGATGCTGGTTCCTCTTATGGAGTTGCATCCCGAGCTTCGAGAAAATCGAATCGGGCACATTGTTTGTTGGATCATCTCTCACCACATCTACAATTGGCCACAAAAAGCCAGGAAGACATTTAACAAATTGAACAAGGCCAAAAACATCGAAAATTCAAAATCACCACTTCAACAGGCTTAATAGCGAAGAACTTTGAGCATACCATCTCTAGCAATCTTCACTCCACCAAGTTCCAGCGCTGACAGGACAGGAAGCCTCCCATTCTTCTTGCGGGTGCAAGTAGCATCAGCAGTGGAGAAAGGCGTGGAGAAGGTGAATCGATTGAAGCGGGCATTGGTTCGATTGAGGAAGGAGGAGGACGTTGCTCTGGAGAAGAAAGTGAACTGCGCAATTGACATTGCCATCGTCATCTCCCCCTCCTAAGCTCCAATTGACAAATAGAAGAAGCAGAAAGCCCGCTACTGATAGTCACTGGAAAGTAATGAACAAACGGAAGAAGTTGTTGCACTGCGGCGGCCGCCGCGTCGTCGCCGAGCTGGAGAAATGAGCGGAAGAGGAGGGCGAAGAGCGGCCGGTGGTCGGATTAGGAACAATCTCCCCCCTTCAAAGAACCTGCGTGAATTTACACCAAGGTGGTTCGACCCATCAACCTGCACAACCCAGCCCGGTCTGATTAAATTTCTCAACAACCAAGGCCTGTATGCTTTTGGGCCCATAGTCTGTATGGCCTTCTTATTTTCTTGGACAGATTTAGTGGGGGCCTTTTTGTTTGTTTTGCAGGGACTTGGTGGTTTCAGGTTTTTTTTTATAAGGGTGATATAGATTTTATTTTGTCGTCATTAAGGTACTACTTAAGGTACTTATTTGGTGGTTTCAGGTTTGGTTAGTTGTTATGATAACGATCTTTGTCGCAGTACCTTAGTTTTTGCAATAAAGACTTTGTCACAGAAGGTTCAGGTTTATGCAAAACTCCTCCGACGATGCAATACACTAGGAAGAAAAAAAGCAACTGCATATAGCGACGATCGCGAAAACATTTTTCAACAATTACGACAAATCTTTTTCATCACAAATGTTGTCGCGTATTTAATTTCAAACTCTGTATGTATTCTCTAAATCTTCTTTAATGATTATAAAGTCTATCCCAAGTCAATTGACATGTTCAATGGCTGTTTAATCAATTCACAAGTGTGCTGAGAATCTCTTTTTTTTTAAGGGATAGTTAATTACTCATGGACTCCTATGTTTTAAGGGAGGTCTATAATTTATATATATGGCCTACATGCATATTTTTTTTTATATGAATCTGTAATCCATTGGCTATTAAAATAAATTTGATTTCAACTTGATTATAGGTTAAATTAATTAGACCATCGCTATCTAAGTGCACATATGAAGATCCAGTCAACTGCAGTTGCGCAAGTGACTCAAGCAAGTAGGCAAATATAGTAATACATATCTAATTAATGAGGAGGTGTCATTTGCACATTCACATATTTGTGGTTAATTAACTAATGACTTGTGTTTATGTTGTGTCATTAGTTTAATCAACTGCAATAACTTCTCCTGACGCTCAGGTCAATTGTCTCCCTAATTGAAGGATCATTGTGGTTAGGAATCTGGAATAACAAAAAAAATTACAGATATGAGTAGGTCAGCTGCTTTGCTTCAGTATAGAGAGACCCTTGACTGATAATTTCCAGGTTGAATTTGGATTTTTTTTTTATTATTTTCATAAATATTTTAGGACTTCATTGGATGTGCTTGGGATAATCTCTTAATTAAACTTTACCCCATATGTTTTCTCATTTATCGTTGAATATGAAAATACCTTATGATCAATTTGTCTCATAAAATAGTAACACTAAATAGAATTAATTTTGTTAGTGCCACTATTTCTTTTTTTTTTTTTAATCAGTGCCACTAGGACACTTGGGGACTTTGGCTCATAAAATAGTAACAAGCTAGGGGAGTTGCAATATGCCAATAACATGCTGGAACAAAATTAAACCACGAATTCGTGATTCACAATTAATGTTCAGAAAGTGTGGAGAATTCAACTAGGACTACATGTATATCAACCAGTTTATTTTATTTTATTTTATTTTATAATGGCTATGTCAACCATTTGAATTGACTTTTCTTCAGTATCAATATATGATTATCTTTTGTAAAAAAAAAACCATTTGAATTGACTTTGTTTCAAGAAAAAAAAGAATTGTTTAAGAAAGTCATGTAACCATTTAGTGGGAAAGCTTGGTTTAGCGCTATTAGTATTGGGTTTTCAAACCGGTTTATACCTTTGCGCTGATTTGGCAAGTGGAATGGTACGATCAATTCAGTCAAAATCGGGATTTTATGTAAAATCGGAATCGTAGATTAAAATCGTAAAATCGTAAGATTTTAAGGTTCATATTAAAATAAACACTTAAAACAATACTTAGTAATAACAATGCGTATTATGAATAACAATCAACCACATTATAACCTACTTACTTCCAAAGATAAGTTTATCTGCTAAATAAACACAAATAAATCTATAGATTTATTCTTGTACATAACAAAAACACACAAATAAGCAACCTGGAACCTCATAGAAGTCACTTAATATGGTTAATAGTTAAGATTAAAAAAAATCACATAAGATCGTTAGGATCAACCCTAATATCCCTCGCTCAACATCGTCCTCACCCAGCCACCCTCACTCTAATCCCCGTAGAATCGTCCTTGTTTATTTTCTGTAGGAATGATATCCTTATTCTTAGATTCACTTGAAGCACTTTGACCATTAACTCATTATTGATTGATGCATTCCCTACTTGATCGATAAGAGGTTGGGGACATTGGTGCGGAAGGTTTGGTAGATGAATGAAAGCTTGCAATGGAATGGGGAGTGGGCTAATTGTGAAAAAGTGGTGGGGAACAAAACACGAGATAATTGGGAGGGTGGAGGAAATCATTGATGGAAGGAGTCTGGACTCGTCGAGGGGTTTTCTATCAGGTGATGGTTGTGTTGTTCATTATATTGGGGCTGGGACTGTGTTTAAAAATTCCATAGTTCTTTGTAAGAACTCATTCATTTCACTCCAAAATAAATACATTATTAGTTCAAATTTGATTGTTTCTTACAAACCATGTCGATGGATCTCTTTCATCCGTCGTTTATGAAATGTGAGATTTATCAAAAATATTACACAGAAAGGAATGAAATTTGCATATCTATACATTAATCCATGGCTACATAGAATGGTCCCCAAGTAAACGCAGCTCACCGTCCATCTCCAAAACCCACCCATCATTCGAATCAATGGGAAGAAGGTGGTGCGAAATGGCAGGTGGGCGGTCCCAAGTAAATACCAAACAAATGACCCCTAGGCCTAGCTAGCCTAGCTAGTAGTAAATGATATCCTCCTCTAATTTGGATGTGTAATATTGCATGGGGTTCTGTAATTGTTGTACCCTTTTTAATTTTGTTTTTTTTTTCAAATATATATATATATATTTTTTTTTTTTTGTGGCCTAGGGCAGTCTAGTTGGTTAACTGTAGTGCTGGTTGCTCTCAGCGCAGGACCAGCATCCAGCGGCAGCGGCGGCCAGCGAGGAGGAGGACAGCCCAGCCAGCCCAGCAAGCAAGCAAAAGCAAAAGCAACCACAAGAACATAATTTTGCGCACACAATACTCGCAGGCAGCCTAACTCCATTCTCTCTCCATATATATCTCTATCTCATGTACACCAAAAAAAAAAAAAAAAAAAGAACATCAAACCATTGTATTTGTACGTGACTGTCAAATCTGAGATACTTGCCGATGTTGCAGCCAGCCCTACCAAAAATCAAAACAGTTTGCAAATTGTATTGCATTGCATAGGGCATTAGGGCCGAACCAGCTAGCTCAATATGGAAATTAGTAACTGGCCCATAAATTAATTTTATATAAGGGTATTTTTTTTAATAATAATTAAACTTTAAATATCCAACTGCTGCAAGTTACAAAACAGACGCGCGCACGACGTGTTTTTATATTCTAAAAAAACATTATAAAAATACACTCATTGAATACCCGTGTGTTCAGCAAATCTCGTTCGATAGATTCTACTGGATAATCATTCACGAACTAATATCATATTCGATTACGAAAGCGAAACTTGTTTGTTTTTTTTTTATATGTAACCCGAAGCTGGAAAAGCGTTTCTTCAGCACTTGCAGTTGCAGCCGATAATACCAATACAGCTTTCAGAAGCAACATTTTTTTGCTAGCAGCAATTCGTGTAACTCGCTTATGTTCGCTCAAAAAGGCTCTGCTTACTGGGGAAAAAAAAAATTCTTACAATGACACAATTACAATGAAATTCTCTAAAATATACAAGTTTTGGGTTGTTCGTTGCGGTGTCCAGCAATTTGGTATCGGGTCACTTGACATCAACAAAGCAATTTTATCAATGTTTCTTGTAAATAGACATGATTTTGAAGCTAGCTAGACTGCTTCTGATAGCATCGATTTGTGTAACTCGCTTATGCTGGCAGCAATTTGAGTAAAATCAATTTCATCTCCAACGAACCGACACCAAAATTGTTGGACACTATAGCTACACACCACAAACTTGTCTATTTTAGAAATTTTGTTGTAAATTGTAATTGACTTATTTAAAAAAAAATTACTAGGTTTCGTATTTCGGGGGGAAATCCCTTGGATAACTAGTTGACAAGATTGAATTTCCATGAGTATGATTCTTTAGAAGAGTTTTAATAATTTTCCTGCACCAAAAGTTTATGTTGGTTTGGAACAATGGCCACTTTTAATTTATTGAATAAATTAGTGTTTTTGTATATATGGTTACCAAATGCATATAGTGTAGTTCGATCTTCATCTAATATCAATCGAAGTTCGAAAATTTTTCGGATGTCGTACACAATTTATTCAAAATAACAAGAGGATCGACAATCAATAAACAAAAAAAAGCAAAGAATGACGTCAATAACCCAAATGAATAAGGGTGTTTAGTTGTTTGTATTGAAAGACTAATACAAAATTGTAAATCTAACCTCAAACATAACACACAAATGCACAAAACAAACACCAACTATCGTACTACCGCAGCATCAGGTACAAACATTCGATCGTTTCGGTCAAAACCGAACCGAACTAACTAAACCCTAAAACTAAAACTAAAACCAAAATGGCCTAAATGAGTCATTAAACAAACTAAGGCCTAAAATATGCTAAGCAAGCAAACAAAGAGAAACGAAAAGGAAGGAATAACGAAAAGGACAAGCTCACATGAGCCCGTAACCAGATCATTCATGGGTCCCCCCCCGTCCCTCCCTTAATCAATTAAATTAGGTCAATAGCACCCTCCAATCTTTTCTTTACCCATGGGCTGGAATTGTGAGGACAATGGAGCTTTAGCAATTTTTTTCCCCATGCTTTTGTTTAGGGTTCATTCCTCTTCTTCGACTACTCCTCTGTCTCTCTCAATCCTTTTCCTTTGGAGTGTCTGATTTCTCCTTCTCCTGGTTCTGGGTCAAAGAAGAAGGCACCGACCTCCCTGCCTCATTCCCACCATTTTTCTCTCTCTCTCTCTCTCTCTCTCTTCTTCAAAGAGGAGGAGGAAAGGAAGAAGGTGTGCTTGCTTCCGCTTGCTCTGGTTAATTAATGTTATTCGAATTCGAATTCGCGATTTAGTGTTAATCTTTGCCATGTTAATTTAATTAAGTAATAAATTAATTGCAGGTGTGTTGGTTGGTTCCCCTTTCGCTTCATTATCCATCCACCTCCTCCCCTCCCTCCAAGATCCAGAGCTTTTTGCGGCGGCCACTCCTAAACAGAGAGCATGAATTTCGGCCAGGAGGAAGAAGACGACAGCCGCAGTAAAGACACCGCCGCAGCATCAGCCGAAGAAGTAGTAGTAGTAGAAGAAAACGACGAATTAGACGAAGAAGAAGAAGACGACTATGCCTCCGCAATTCCCACCCCCAATCTCCATTCTCCTCCTGTTCACCAGTACGAAAATCTACTTCCTCAACACCACCACGACGGACTTTGGCGCAACCTCTCCCAAACCTCCTACTCCGACGCCGCCGCCGCCGCCCCATCCTCCGCAGGCTTCAATTTCGTCGACCTGTCGCTTGCTGGGAGCTCAAACGAGGCGGATCCTCCCGATCTCCACGGCGGAGCTGCTGGACCGTCGTCGTCGTCGACGGCGGCGGCGGCGATGATGATGGTAGAGAAGGAGCACATGTTCGACAAAGTGGTGACGCCGAGCGACGTCGGGAAGCTGAACCGGCTGGTGATACCGAAGCAGCACGCGGAGAAGTACTTCCCCCTCGATTCCTCCTCCAACGAGAAGGGGCTGCTCCTCAACTTCGAGGACCGCGGCGGCAAGCCGTGGCGGTTCCGCTACTCGTACTGGAACAGCAGCCAGAGCTACGTGATGACCAAAGGATGGAGCCGGTTCGTCAAGGAGAAGAAGCTCGACGCCGGGGACATCGTCTCGTTCCAGCGCGGCGTCGGCGAGGCCGGGAAGCACCGCCTCTACATCGACTGGAGGCGCCGCCCCGTCCCGCCGCCAGATCCGATGTCTTTCCCTCACCACCACTTCGACCTCCACAACAACCCGCTCCGGTGGGGGAGGCTCTACTCGCTGCCGCCTCAATCGATCTCCAATCTCCCTCCCAGGCAGTGGGACTATCCTCATCCGCCGCCGCCTCAATTCCACCACCAGCAATTGAATTACGGTACGATTCTCCCTCTCCAGAATTCCTACGGCCATAACCAGTACTACCACAATTACCAGCAGCAGCCGCTGTACTACTCGCGGCCTCCGGGGGCGACGGCGCAATATCCGATTTCTGCTTCGTCCTCCGCCGCGGGAATCGGAGGAGGAGGGGACCACGCGCCGATGGTCATCGATTCGGTTCCCGTGGTTCACGGGAAGACGGTTGGGAAGCGGCTGAGGCTGTTTGGCGTGAACATGGAGTGCCAACCTGACGACTTGCCGTCGTTTTCTCCGGCTTCGCCTTCTTCTTCTATGAGCGTAACGTATCCATATCAGCAGCAGCAGCGGGGGACAATGTCTTCTTCTTCTTCTTCGTTGTCACCATCGTCATCCATCCCGGGGCTCCAATTCCAAGGAGTGCCGACTACAGCTACGCCGCCGTCGCAAATGGCAATGCATCAGTACCAGCAGCAGCAGCAGCAGCATGAGTATTCAAAGAAAGGAAAGACTTCCTCCTTGTCCTTCGATTTGGATCTTTGATATTATGGGTCTGCTGAATTTTAGGATTACTGGCAGATTTAATTTTTGGGTCCTATATAATTGAAGAAGCTCGATCTTAATCTATTTGCTTTGCGTTATTTATTTGTCCTCTCTCTATTCTGTTTGGTGTTGATTTCTGATCGATATTGCTCCTTTTACTTTTCATGTGGTAATTAGTCGTACCTAGTTAGAGAGGAGCAGAATTAAGGTAGAACTAGCTTAGACGAGAGAGCGAGCTGAGGATGAATATGCAGTGCAAACCAGGGAAGAAAATGAAGAAACCAAAGGAAGAAAGAGAGAGAGGGAGAGCTGGAAAAAATGTGGTGGCCTGGGGAGGCCTTAATTTCAACTGTATATAAATACAATATATACAGAGATCATAAATATCAGCATATTTTAGTTGATTCCCTTTCCTTTCCCTTCCCTTTCTTTTGTTTTTATTCGGTTTATATTTTTTGAAGAGTTGAGCTTGCCAAGGTATATATATATATTTACTGTTGGTGTTAAATAAAATGAATACGGACACGTTGGGAAATGGGCTACTTGAGTAGTGCCTGGAGTTGTTGTTGCTGCTGCTGCTGCTGCGTATTGTATGTGAATAAGTAACTCTCTCTTCCCCGCCAGTTTGCTTGGGTTAATTTTGTTCCATATCGACTGTACATTTTCTTTCTCTTTGTGTTTTCCTTGTTGAAATCATTTCTCTTGTTGTAGTCGGACTGAGAGAGGGAAGGAGAGAGAGCTGACAGAGATAGCCATTACTTTTGTCATTTTTTATATTATGGTAGGGAGGAACAGATGGGGAGCAGAAGTCGTTCCTTGTTTGTTTCTTTTTGCAATTGATTGTTTAGGGTAAATGTTCCCTGCTGCTGGTTAGTTGGGTTTGCAGTCGATGGATACGGGAGAAGGAAGGAAAGGGGGAAGTGTGTTTGTTGGTTGCAAACAGTTCTGCAGCAGCAGCAGCTAGCTTGCGATGAAAAAAGGTGCCTTCTGTATTCTTATTACTATGCCCTCTCTTTCTCTCTTTCTATCTCTTCTTTTTTTTCATCATTTCAACTTTTATGAACAAAAGATGTCTGGTGCATGTTTGTTTTAAAGAGAGGTCAAGAACCCAAATGTCTGCTTCTTCTTCTGATAAGCTGAAATTCTTGCAGCCTTATTATTAAGTATGTATGATTCATGATTGTCTTTTTTTCTCTCTTCCCTTGTGTTGTTTGTCTTTACAGCATGAGCTTTGGGGGGGACTGAGAGCTCTGAGCCATTCTTCTTCTCCTCTGGATTGCTGCCAGCCAGTGAGAAGGCCAGGAAAAGAAAAAGCAGTCATTTATGGTGCTGAAAGAGATTTCACAGATGAGGGTGGGCATATATCTCGGAACTACTGCACCCAAAATTCCAATCACGAAACAAAGAAGTTCCCGCGCGCTCTCTCTTTTTCAATCTGTAAGCTACTGCTGCTGCTGCTGCTACTTTAATGCTCTCTATCTGTAGCTATAATAAGCTTCTCTTTCTCCACTTTCCTCCCTCCATATCTCCTTGCCTCTTTTTCAACTACACACTGCATCCTGGATTTCTCTCATCTCGCTGTACATAAAATAAAGTTGTTATTTTTGTGCCTTCGGCTAAGCATTTAGAGATAACAATAACCTGCATATATTAAATGGAATTTAAGTGGACAGCACATTTATATTTGCACCTGAATGGAGGCGCATGGTAGTGATGGTATACTTGCACATATGTATACTAAGAGACCTAGCTAGCTAGCTGGCCTAGTTAGAAAGCAGTAGCTAGCACCTTATTCTACCTAAACATTTAGGGCTGCTGTGTTTTGAAAGTGAATTGAAGTTTGGTTTAGTTACTTTCTACATATCAATTATAAATACATGGCCCTTACCGTTTGAGGTCAAGAGTTTCAGTAATACTCTTTACAGTGAGATGATGATAAAATCTCATGTCATGTTGTTCATGTTGTGTTGCCATTTGTTTATGCAAAAAACTAAAGCTAATAGGCATGAAATATGAAAGCACTTGTAGATGCTACATTCAAATTTCGATGCCAATTGCATTGTTCTGGTAGAGAAAGAAGGAAGAAAGTTTGATATGAATGCTAGCCTATATGAAGAAACTGTCAACAAAAAGAAAAAAGCATATGATAATGAGGGTGTTTATAATTACTGTACTCGTGTATCCTTTCCTTTCCTTTACATGCATGTATGCTATACCTAGCTATATGGGTTCTTATTATAACATGTAGCATTAGTATTGTATACTTTAAGTGATTTGGTCATCAGATATAGTTCGATGAACCTCGACAAATTAGAATTATCAATTAATATTTTTTTGAATTTAAAATGATCCAGGTTTAGGAAATAAATGGCTGACTGCTTCAACGGGTATCATCCATTTTGAAGGATATACAAAGAAAAGAGGTTTGGCAAGGCAGCTGCAAAATTTGAGAAAGGTAATTTGGGGGCAAAAGTAGTGTATATATATGATGGAGATCCCATATATGTATAAGTTGAAGTGAAGTCATGAAAATTCTCTGATATGATCGTCACTCTCTGCTGCCTGCAGAATATATTTGGTATGTAGGATCCATCAAAAACGAGATCGAGGAATTAGCCTCTCTCCCCCTTCCTCCCTCCATGCAAGACAAGGGGTTTTTCTATCCATCCTTTTCATGGTATGTAGAATTTTTTTTATTAATAAATTTCGTCCTCTACACTGCCCAACCAACTATTTAATATAATCTATAGTAATAATAACATTATTATAGTGTCTATTAATTCACATGGCCAAATAGGGCGTGTTTGTTTACTTCTTCTTCTTCTTCTTTTTGTGTTGTTTTGGGTTTGGGTTTGGTAAGGGTAAGGGTAAGTTTCAATGTCTTATACCTGCCAAATATGCTGACAGCTAGCTGGTCGTCGTGTTTTCAGTTCTCGTGTTGACAAGTCTTGGAGAGAAACGAAAGGGATAATAATCAAACTTAAGTTAGGCCATTGTTATTGGGGACACAGTAGTGCATATGTCCATGCATTGTCAACTTAATGAATTAATGCTTTCTCACAAGGAAGGCAAATACAAAAACAAACCAAATTTAGGAAGTTCAACTATTGTTGTCTATAAAAAAGGGAAAATGCATTATAATCTTCATATATCTGTCTGAAGATTACATGTCCACAAATTCATTTGCGGGGAGATTTTTTTTTTTTTTCTCTCCTTGTGCTCTATCCCATTTTATTTCATATTTATCCCACCAAACACTATTACCAATAAATTCTCAATATTCTGTGACCATTCTTGTTCTTAGAATGAAAAAAAACCCACCTGGTTGGGTTTGGTGAGGAACAGCAGCAGACAGAGAGAGCTAGAGGAGGATTGTCTAGGCGACGTCAGAGAGAGGGATAGAGAAGGTGGGCAAGAGTACTGAGAAAGAGGGATTTTACCCTTTTTTTTTCGATCGATCTTTGAGGTTGGCTTCAAATTATCCACTGTAGCACTTGCATGCTGTCTTCTTATTTTCTTGATGCGAGTGACTAGTTATGTCACCAGCTAGCTAGGGCTAGCTAATATATCTGTGCTTGTGTCTAGCAAATGGTGTGCACAGAATGAATTATGTTTCCCAAGGCAAGGCAAGGCAGTTAGTTAATTTACTTGCTGGGTTTATTTTACATTCTGGGTTTAGTTAAATGTAGACCGGTAGAGACACTTGGGTAGCTGCTGCGTGCTTGCAGCTGGGTAAGAAGTAATAATGAAGATGATTTACAAGGGAGAAATAATATATAGGGCTAGCTAGCCAGCTAAAACTACTGCGTGCCAAAAGGAATATTACATTAATATTGTTTTTTACAATTCCGAAGAGATATATATGTGTGTGTGTGAGTGTTCATCGTCCGATGAACTTTTGGGGCTGCCGCAGCAGCAGCTGATGTTGTCGCCTTTGTTTTGTTGGGCTAGGTATGTGAGTAAGCTATATATAGGCTGTAAACCTAGCTAGGTGCTCTCTCTCTCTCTATTTATTTGTTATTATGTGCTGACAATTCAAACAAAAATGAAATTTTCTTATTGCTTGTAGTATAAGGGTGAGAGTTGGGTTTGGTTCGGATAATCGAACACAAAATCAACAAAGTTGAATCACGATAGTTTCGGTAAGAAGAAATCGAAAGCCGAATCGCATCCTTTGTTTTTTTAATTGGTTTATTAGTAGGGTGATACGAGCTCAAATTACGATGGACCATGGGTCAAGAGACGATTTAAGAGGTTTAAACTTTAAAGAGAGCTAGTAAACAAAGTCCTACAGAAAGAAGGAAACAAATTTGATTTCTTCGACCCTTAATTCTATCCCTCGCCTAGTAACAAGTAGACTTCCAGGAGGTGCTTCCATCTCGGTTGATTCATCAACCTCTGAATCTGATGTCGCTTTTGCTTGCTCCTCTACTTCAGAATCTGAGGACATATTCTCCATTCTCCAACATGACTCGATGCCCAGAAGAGGAATGTGTCTCTTATCAACTAGCTATCGTGTCTAGTTGTGACAAGTATCGACTTATATCGGTTGGCCCTTCTCACATGTTCGGAATTGTTTGATCGATTTCCTCAATCCATCTTTTATTTTGTGTTATTGAATAAAGAAGAAAAATCCTAAATAGTTCGACGTGTGCAACCCTAATTATTTGGTCTAAGTTTGAGTTGATTCTTGGATTTGGATCATATCATAGGTTTTCAATTTTCATCGAAATCAAAATTAAGAGTTTATTAATTTGCACTCATTATTAAGAAAAAAAAAATGGAATTCATAGTCTAATTATATATGCACGGGATACAAAAATTATAATTCACGGTTGCAGAAGTGAATATTAAATGCTGGGTTATTCTAAAGATTATGAGTTACCAAATAGCCTTATCACCGGCAGCAATTTGGGAAAGGGAGGTGAATGGAAAGACCTGAACTTAGATTAGCATCCAATACCAGATTTCCGCCATAACCAGTTGTGAAATATATTACT